GTCAGTAGAGTGAGACTTGCTTGAGGCAGGAATACAGTCGAGTGAGTGGGAGGAGCTTGTGACAGTCCAGTCAGAGTGAGTGCAGGAGGAGCTTGTGACAGATACAGTCCCAGTGAGAGTGGGAGGGCTTGTGACAGGAATACACACAGTCAGTGAGTGGGAGGAACTGTGACAGATACAGTCCCGGTAGGTGGGGAGGGCTTGTGACAGGCCACAGTCCAGTGAGGTGGGGGAAACTTGTGACAGACCACAGTCAGTGAGACTTGTGACAAGATACAGTCAGTGGGTGAGGCTTGTAGCAGTTAGTCGAGTGAGTGGGAGGGGGCTTGCGGCAGACCACGGTCGGTGAGAGTGGGAAAGGGCTTGTGACAGATACACAGTCCCGGTGAGGTGGGGAGGATTGGCGGACAGATACTTGTGTCAGATACAGTGAGTGGGGGGGGCTTGTGACAGATACAGTCAGTGAGTAGCGGTTAGGGAGTGGGAGGGGCTTGTGACAGATACAGTCAGTGAGTGGGGAGGGAAGATTACAGACTGGGGAGGCAGTGAGATACAGTCGGTAGGGGGAGGGGCTTGTGACAGGTACAGTCAGTGAGTGGGAAGGACTTTGTAGTGGCAGGCACGACAGTCAGTGAGTGGGAGGGCTTGCTTGACGACAGAGGTAGTGGGAGGGACTTTGTGGAGAAATACAGTCAGTGAGTGGGAGGGCTTGTGACAGATACAGTGGGGTGAGGCTTGCTTGGTTGAGTCGAGAGTGAGTGGGAGAGGGCTTTTGACAGACAGTCAGTGAGTGGGAAGGGGCTTTGTGACAGATACAGTCAGTGAGTGGGAGGGCTTGTGACAGACAGTCAGTGAGAGTGGGAGGGGCTTGAAGCAGATACAGTCAGGTGAGTGTGTGGGAGGGCTTTTGACCAGACAGTCAGTGAGGTGGGAGGGCTTGTGACAGATACAGTCAGTCCAGTGAGTGGGAGGAACGTGACAGATACAGTCAGTCAGTGGGTGAGGAGCTTGTGACAGTCAGTCAGTCAGTGGGGAGGAGCTTGTGGCAGGAATACAGGTCAGAGTGAGTGGGGAGGATTGTGACAGGAATACAGTCAGTCAGTGAGTGGGAGGGACTTGCAGACAGATACAGTCAGTGAGTGGGAGGGCTTGTGACAGAATACAGTCAGTGGGTGGGAGGGGCTTTGACAGACAGTCAGTGAGTGGGAGGAGCTTGTGACAGATACAGTCAGTGAGTGGGAGGGGCTTGTGACAGATACAGTCAGTCAGTGAAGTGGGAGGGTCTTGTGACAGGAATACAGTCAGTGAGTGGGAGGGGCTTGTGACAGATACAGTCAGTCAGTGGGAGGAGATTGCTGACAGATACAGTCAGTGAGTGGGGAGGGGCTTGTGACAGACAGTCCAGTGAGTGGGGAGGGCTTGTGACAGATACAGTCAGTCAGTGGGGAGGGACTTGTGACAGATACAGTCGGTGGGTGGGAGGGGCTTTTGACGGGACAGTCAGTGAGTGGGAGGGCTTGTGACAGATACAGTCAGTCAGTGGGAGGGGCTTGTGGCAGATACAGTCAGTCCAGTGAGTGGGAGGGTCTTGTGACAGATACAGTCAGTGAAGTGGGAGGGGGCTTGTGACAGATACAGTCCCAGTCAGTGGGAGAGGGATTGTGACAGATACAGTCAGTGAGTGGGGGGGGCTTGTGACAGACAGTCAGTGAGTGGGAGAGGCTTGTGACAGATACAGTCAGTCAGTGGGAGGGACTTGTGACAGATACAGTCAGTGTGAGTGGGAGGAGGGCTTGTGACAGATACAGTCGAGAGTGAGTGCAGGAGGGGGCTTGTGACAGATACAGTCAGTGGGTGAGGCTTGGCAGACGAAGGTTGAGTCAGTGAGTGGGAGGGGCTTGTGACAGGATACAGTCAGTGAGTGGGGAAGGGCTTGTGACAGATAGTCAACAGCGTGAGAGACGGTCAGTGAGTGGGAGGGGGCTTGTGACAGATACAGTCAGTGAGTGGGAGGGGCTTGTGACAGATACAGTCAGTGAGTGGGAGGGACTTGTGACAGATACAGTGGGTGAGGGCTTGTGAGCAGTTACAGTCCAGTCAGTGGGAGGGCTTGTGACAGTCAGTCGAGAGTGAGTGGGGAGGCTTGTGACAGGCACAGTCAGTCAGTGGGAGGGAGCTTGTGACAGACAGTCAGTGAGTGGGAGGGAGGCTTGTGACAGATACAGTCAGTGAGTGGAGGAGGGGTCTTGTGACAGATACAGTCAGTGAAGTGGGGGAGAGGAGCTTGTGACAGATAGAGTCAGTGAGTGGGAGGGGCTTTTGACAGACAGTCAGTGAGTGGGAGGGAGCTTGTGACAGATACAGTCAGTCAGTGGGTGAGGCTTGCTGACAGTCAGTCAGTGAGTGGGAGGGAGCTTGTGACAGATACAGTCAGTGAGTGGGAGGAGCTTGTGACAGATACAGTAAGTGAGAGTGGGAGGGGCTTTGTGACAGATACAGTCAGTCAGTGAGTGGGAGAGACTTGTGACAGATACAGTCAGTCAGTGGGTGAGGCTTGTGACAGTCAGTCAGTGAGTGAGGAGGGCTTGTGACAGATACAGTCAGTGGTGGGAGAGTGAGTGGGAGGATTGTGACAGATGACAGTCAGTCAGTGAGTAGGAGAGACTTGTGACAGATACAGTCAGTGAGTGGGAGGGGGCTTGTGACAGATACAGTCAGTCAGTGGGTGGGAGTGGTGGGGGAGCTTTTGACAGACAGTCAGTGAGTGGGAGGGGCTTGTGACAGATACAGTCAGTGAGTGGGAGAGGGCTTGTGAGCAGATACAGTCAGTGAGTGGAGGAGGTCTTGTGACAGATACAGTCAGTGAGTGGGAGGGCTTGTGACAGATACAGTCAGTGAGTGGGTGAGACTTGTGACAGACAGTCAGTGAGTGGGAAGGAGCTTGTGACAGATACAGTCAGTCAGTGGGAGGAGTTTGTGACATACAGTCAGTGAGTGGGAGGGCTTGTGACAGATACAGTCAGTCAGTGAGAGCTGAGGCTTGTGACAGATACAGTCAGTCAGTGAGTGGGAGGAGCTTGCTTGACAGATACAGTCAGTGAGTGGGAGAGCTTGTGACAGATACAGTAAGTGAGTGGGAGGGAGCTTGTGACAGATACAGTCAGTCAGTGGGTGAGGCTTGTGACAGTCAGTCAGTGAGTGGGAGGCTTGTGACAGATACAGTCAGTGAGTGGGGAGGAGCTTGTGACAGATACAGTAGAGTGAGTGGGAGGGCTTGTGACAGATACAGTCAGTCAGTGAGTAGGAGAGCTTGTGACAGATACAGTCAGTGAGTGGGAGGGGCTTGTGACAGATACAGTCAGTGAGTGGGAGAGCTTGTGACAGATACAGTAAGAGAGTGAGGGGAGGATTGCTTGTGACAGATACAGTCAGTCCAGTCAGTGAGTAGGAGAGACTTGTGACAGATACAGTCAGTGAGTGGGAGGGCTTGTGACAGATACAGTCAGTCAGTGGGAGGATTGTGACAGACAGATACAGTCAGTGAGAGTGGGAGGGCTTGTGACAGTACAGTCAGTGAGTGGGAGGGCTTGTGACAGATACAGTCAGTGAGTTGGGAGAGCTTGTGACAGATACAGTCCAGTGAGTGGGAGGGGAGTTGTCAGGACAGATACAGTCAGTGAGTGAGAGACTTGTGACAGATACAGTCAGTGAGTGGGAGGGGCTTGTGACAGATACAGTCAGTCCAGTGGGGTGAGGGCTTGTGACAGTCAGTCAGTGAGTGGGAGGGAGCTTGTGACAGATACAGTCAGTGAGTGGGAGGGGCTTGTGACAGATACAGTCAGTCAGTGAGTAGGAGAGACTTGTGACAGATACAGTCAGTGAGTGGGAGGGGCTTGTGACAGATACAGTCAGTCAGTGGGAGGGGCTTGTGACAGATACAGTCAGTGAGTGGGAGGGGCTTGTGACAGATACAGTCAGTGGGTGGGAGGGGCTTTTGACAGATACAGTCAGTGAGTGGGAGGGGCTTGTGACAGATACAGTCAGTGAGTGGGAGGGGCTTGTGACAGATACAGTCAGTGAGTGGGAGGGTCTTGTGACAGATACAGTCAGTGAGTGGGAGGGGCTTGTGACAGATAGAGTCAGTGAGTGGGAGGGGCTTTTGACAGACAGTCAGTGAGTGGGAGGGCTTGTGACAGATACAGTCAGTGAGTGGGAGGGACTTGTGACAGATACAGTCAGTGAGTGGGAGGGGCTTGTGACAGATACAGTCAGTGAGTGGGAGGGGCTTGTGACAGATACAGTCAGTGGGTGAGGCTTGTAGCAGTTAGTCAGTGAGTGGGAGGGGCTTGTGACAGAGTCAGTGAGTGGGAAGGGCTTGTGACAGATACAGTCAGTGAGTGGGAGGGGCTTGATACAGTCAGTGAGTGGGAGGGGCTTGTGACAGATACAGTCAGTGAGTGGGAGGGGCTTGTGACAGATACAGTCAGTGAGTGGGAGGGGCTTGTGACAGATACAGTCAGTGAGTGGGAGGGGCTTGTGACAGATACAGTCAGTGAGTGGGAGGGGCTTGTGACAGACAGTCAGTGAGTGGGAGGGGCTTGTGACAGATACACAGTGAGTGGGAGGGACTTGTGACAGATACAGTCAGTGAGTGGGAGGGGCTTGTGACAGATACAGTCAGTGAGTGGGAGGGGCTTGTAGACAGATACAGTCAGTGGGTGGGAGGGGCTTGTGACAGACAGTCAGTGAGTGGGAGGGGCTTGTGACAGATACAGTCAGTGAGTGGGAGGGGCTTGTGACAGACAGTCAGTGAGGAGGGACTGTATCTGTCACAACCTCCTTCCTGCTCATCAAATATAATATAATCAGAATAATCTAGCTTAACAATTACCAACAAATCTATTGACCCATGTCAACACCTTCTATGTCTATGTTTTGATGTTAATATTTAAATCAAATCCTTCTGTACATCCCCCCTGCCCCCTCCGAGAGTAACGTACCCATCATCGTCTGTGATGAGTTTCCCGTAGAGTCCCTTGATGATAACCAGTCCTCCCTTCTTCTCCTCCGCCTCCAGACTCCTCTCCACTGTCTCCTTCATCAGCTCAACCTACACAAAACATTGTCATATGTTGTCAAATATTTTGAGAAGTCTATCCAGCAAAAGAACAATGGGTAAATATATCTCACAGTAAGCAATCCAGCTCATTGGCTTTACTTCTAATATTCAATCCATATCAGAAGATGTGAGCTCTTCGATGCAGGAAACTACACACCAGCTTTGATGAATTAGTCAGTGAGTAAGTAAGGTTTTATGTCTATTTTAGCAATATTCCAGCAATATCGTGGCATGGGGATATCAGAAATTGTACCCATGTTGGAAATTGAACCCGAATCTTCAGGGTGATGAGCGAAAGCTTTAACCACTAGGCTGCTCCACTGCCCTCAGCTTTGATGAAATCACGAACACCCATATAGTGCTGAATCAATATAGATGATCATCATGGTGCCTGGGACTGGAACCCAGGTACTCCTAGCACACCCCAATCACACGACTACTTGGTATCTCCTTACAGAGGAGCTACACCACTCCATACTACCCATCTGTCTACTCACAGCGGCCTCAGCCTCTGTTTTCCTCTGAGCCAGTTTCTCTGAGTGCTCCTTCCTTGTCTTCTCTAACTCCCTGAATAAAAAAATACAGATTAAATATCTCAAAAATATTTCCACATTGACATCCAATTTTCAATGTTTAAGAATATCTTTGCTATTCAATGTAAGATTTAATCGTAATGTACTAAACAAATGCATTATCTCTGCTAAATTTTAGCTTAACCACGCTATCCCATTTTCACCAAGCAATCTCAAGCAAGATGACAAGATGACAAGATGACACTAAGATGACAAGATGACACTAAGATGACACTAAGATGACTCCATACTTTAACCATGGCCTATAATCATCATAGCACTAAGATCGCTTTGTGGAACAATGAGTGAGTGAGTTTAGTTTTACGCCGCTTTTTTTAGCAATATTCCAGCAATATCACGGCGGGGGACATCAGAAATGGGCTTCACACATTTTACCCATGTGGGGAATCGAACCCGGGTCGTCGGCGTGATGAGCGAATGCTTTAACCACGAGGCTACCCCACCGCCCCTCTTGTGGAACAGGGTCCTTCTATTCTTTAGGTGTACTACCATTATGCCATTAGTTGGTTGCTTTGTTGTTTAACGCCGCACTCAGCAATACTTCAGTTATATGGCGGCAGTCTGTAAATAATCGAGTCTGGACCAGACAATCCAGTGAACAAAAGCATGAGCATTGATCTACGCAACTGGAATACGATGACATGTGTCAACCAAGTCAGCAAACCTGACCACCCGATCTCATTAGTGGCCTTTTACGACAAGCATGGGTTGCTGAACACCAATTCTAACCTAAATTTTCCAAGGTTTGTGCCATTACAGTAACATTATGACCAGGCAATTCATGTCATTCTTAGTGTATGCATTTCTCTTGGTGTACTATTACCTAAACAACCATATTTACTCAGTGTCAACCTACTTTTCTTTCTGCTGTCTCAGGAAAGGGTTGACGATGAGGTTGCGGACAACAAAGAAGGCAACTACAGGAAGAACGGTTCCATAGAATACAGCTGATGGAGACAATGTCTCAGACAAGTGGATGGGGAACAAGAATGTTTGAGTACCGCGAAACAATCTGGAAACAAGATTTTCCTATAGGTAACATACCAGACAAACACAGCATTAGTGAGAGCTTAAAATGAAACATTTATTGATTCAAAACCTGTGCTTGGATGTCTTAAATGATATTTTAACATGATATTCTTGCAAAAATACTGTCAGAGGAACCACTTTTTTTTCATTCTGAAAACTTTCTAGTGACACCTTTAATTACTATATTCTTGAAAATAATTAGAGAGGAACCACTGGACAAAAAGGACTTTGCCAGATACTCCCTGAAAACTGAATTTACATGTGAATGTATTCCTGCATGTTTTCAGACAATAACTTGAGACTGAACTGAAACGAGTAAAGTAATATGCTGAGTGTAACAGGAAAAACATTACCAATTTCTTAAAACTTTGAGTGCTTAATACTCAAGTATGCATGATACATAAACAGTAGTGATAACCCTGAAGTCATGATTCTGAATCTGACAATCCAGTGATTGATATTGAGAACAATGATCCATGTCACTGGGGCACTATGACAGTCAATCAATCAACCCACCATGACAGCCTTCCTGGTCTATTAAATATTACCCAATATATCAAGCACAGGTTGCTGAGGACCTATTGTAACCAGACTTCCTAAGGAATTTCTACAAAAGAAAGTATGGTGTGTACTGACTTGACTCTGAGGTGGATGCCTTGCGGGAGGCTGATCCCCATCGTGGCACCCAGGAAGCTGAACTGGGTGATCTTCTTCTCAAAACCATACTCTAGCAGGTAACCATGAGAACCAATTCTGAAAAAAAAGAATTTGAGGTTCTAAAGATCAGGATTACAAGGATGTCATTTAATGCTGCAGTTAGCAATATCCTAGCTGTTTGATGGAGGATCAAAATATTCAGATAAAGAAACTCCATGATGGAAAACATGAGCAGTCATCATTGCATGATGATTACCCCAATTAGCTAATCCCAGAGCCTGGCCTATTCAGTCACCCCTTACAGACATAGAACAAATACAAAGCTGTGGATACAAAGAGTGAGTGAGTGAGTGAAAGAGTGAGTGAGGGTGGTTGAGTGAGTTTTCTGAGTGGTTGAGTGATTGGTTGAGTGATTGGTTGATTGGTTGATTGGTTGAGTGGTTGAGTGAGTGAGTGAGTGAGTGAGTGAGTGAGTGAGTGAGTGAGTGAGTGAGTGAGTGAGTGAGTGAGTGAGTGAGTACTTACTTTACAGCAACTCTGAGCTTGGCCTCGTGCTCCTGGAACTTCCTTGTCACACTGGCCTGAATGTGCCATGACTTCCTCATGCCCATCTACACATAGGACAACAAACTCATTTCTTCAATTCAGTTTCATCAACTGCATCCTCCTGTTCGCAATTCTTTCAAGCATAATGGATCTTTATGCAGCAAATTAACAGAGTACTGGCTCATCTCGTCAAATAACCAGTCTACTTCATCCAGGCACCCCGTACAGGGTATAATTGTTCAACAAGACTGACTGACTGAGTTTTGGTTTACACCGCTTTTAGCAATATTCCAGCAACATCACAGCGGGGGACACCAGAAATGGGCTTCACACATTGTACCCATGTGGGAATTCGAACCCGGGTCTTCGGCGTGACGAGCCAACGCTTTAACCACTAGGCTACCCCACCGCCCCCTGTTCAACAAGAAGTTCTTAGAAATGGACAGATCACAAAGTTTACACTGTTCTTGCAAAACAACTTCTTTGATATACTTTCATAGCAACAAAACTTTCTTGTCAATGGCAAGAAAATCTATACGTAAACATTGTCATAATAGTATAAGAGATATGTAATCAGAAAAATCTTGTATTTAGCATGTGTAGTCTGCCTCACAATTTGACAGAAGAAACAAGGGAGGCAACTCTTGCCTGTTCCTGTGTAGAGTAAAAAGTCGTTTGTTAGTTGAAGAGAAAATACTAGACCAGAACATGAGAGAAATGTTATGAGAAAAGCAAATGGTGTAATTAGTATGTATAGTCTTCCTGGCATTATGACAGCAGACGTAAAAAAAGAGGATAACACTTTCCAGCTCCTGTGTGGAGTAAAAATTATTTTTGTCTGGATATTATTTGATCTAAGAAGCATACAATTCTTTATTTCAGATACTGGTTGCCTTCATGTTATGTATCAAAGTTAGAAAACCTGGAGTACTCACCATCAGCATCAGTGCACTATGGTACTTTTGGGAGTCGTACACCAAGGCTGTTGTCATGGACGACTGGAAGCCCATGTTCCATGTCATACGGCCTTGGAGATGGCGGTCAAACTGATATGCTATTGCTAAAGAAAGGAATATTTTAAACATTAACTCCAAAATATATGATATGGGATCTGTATAAATATAAATGTGATGAACTTTGTTGAATAGTTATGTTAATATGTTACTTGATCTGTTCATGAGGAAAGGAATGCTCTTTCCAACACAAGCATGTTTTGGACTTCAACCAATTGTATACTACTAAGTAGAAGTTGAAAAGCACACGATTCTTTTATACAACTATTGTTAATCTCCCATGGCATGACAGACAGTCACGTTACTATAGTTAGAATGAGGTTCTCTTTACTTCATTTCAAGGAGTAAGGATGTGAAGCTATGTGCTGATTCAAACATCACCAGCACAGAATTTTCTTCGATTCCCATGGCCTAATTCTCCCTGTTATACCACAAGCCTGACTTACTTGATGAGAGTACCGGCCGGAGTGATCTGGACGTCCCCTGTAGAGATGCTGCACACGTGCCGTAGCTGAAAGACAAACAGAATCTGAAAGCATTCAGCAACATCCTGCATATAATACAGTGAGTTATTATCCCTGCCTCTCAAATTTCAACCTAAATTCACATATATTTTTTTAACTGGTTCTATGCAATACAGTAAAAATTATTCTGCGTAAATTCTTAATAAATACCCAATCCTTTACATGAACCAAAGGAACTGAGTATCGAGTATCCCCAGCAGTTAGTATCATGCATCAGTTCAAGGTCCTTAAAGATGTCTGGAGGTCTGTTTTTAGTATTTCTAAAAGAGTTTTTCTTCAAAATGTAAACGATTTAATTTGACTCTCCAATTCAAAAAGGGTATCCTGGGTCATAAATGTGAAATGTGCATATATTACACACAAATGTATAGAACAATGCAAAAACATATTGCATCCGAAACATGAACATTGATATTCATTGTAACCGGTGTGGACTAAAAAATATAAGGATACTGTTATTACTCTTCACCATTTTATTACAATAGAAGATCTTCATATTTCCTGCCGGGACCATTGCAAATAATTATTGGGGCCCCTGGGCCCCTAGATTTGTAGATAGGTTAGTGCAAAGAATGCTAAAGGATTTTACCCTATCGTACAGAAACCACTTTACCATAGAGCTCTATAGGGCAGTTCAACAAAATACACACTCCTACTAGCAGACATCCTTCACCTAATTTGTAGGGTACAGTCTCAGGCAGGCCAGGTTGCCAGGGATCACATCTTTAGTTGAAGAAGCTGTGCATATATTTAATAGTTACATTCAGAAATATCATCATAATGGTATCTTACCATCTTCGAGTTAACTGCCGAAAACCTTTAATACTTCCTCCAAGGCCATTTCCAAATACAGTCTCAAGCTGGAATAACATTCAAAGTTCAATATATTGTCATCAGTAAATTGTCAGTGCATAACAAATACAATACATCCATGTTCTATGACATTCTCTTCCCACAGATGTTCCTCAAGTCATATCTTCCCATGTACCTCTCTTCTAATACAGCCATATTTCCCAGTTCTTGTAAAACTTCCTAGCGGCAAAAATCGCAACACAAATTATCTCCCTTCTTTCTATCCAATCAGAACACGTGTTACATCGACTTAGGTCCAATGTGGCGATCCCAATCCCTGTCTCTTGTGGATATTCCTTCCTAACACTTGCTTAACTTGACCAATACAAGCAAATGTGGGGCCACAAATATCCCTCCTCTGCCAGGGACTGGTGTTGATGTGACACAAGATAATTGATGACCAGCTTGTCTGAGATGGAGACGCCATTGATCCTCCATTACATGACTGAGTTCTGTCTAAAATAAACATTTGTGCATCGCGCAGGGGAAGAGGTTGTAGCTTTCCCGAAGGATACGGTAATTACTGAGGCTTTGTGAATGATCACTTTTGAAACAACGTCGCTGATTACACAACTAAATCTGGTTGCAACCAATCACGAATCGTGAACACTTGCACCATGAAAGGTTTGTATTAGAACAGAGTTACGTGGGAAGATAAGACTTGAGTAACCTCTGTGGGAAGAGAATGGTTCTATGACTGTGCACAATAGAATTGAACAAATAGAAACATGAGAAAAGCGAATTTCAACATGAAATCTGAAGACAGGCTGGAAATAATCTCAAAGTAGCATTCATATGATAAACAGAACTAACAGTGTCTCCACTGTCTGCACTACTTGCCTCCATCCAACCCTTGTCTGAGGTCAGCCTCCGCCATGATGCGACAAACGCCCCTGATCCGGTGCCGTTCTGTGTCGAGAGATTCCCCGAGATGATGGCGGTATCTTTCACTGTCAGCGGACATTCTACAGACTGGGAGATGCTCATACTGCTCATCTCTATCACTGTGCTCTGCCTGCAGGAATATCAACATGGAGTATATTCTTTTATTACCCACGTGGTCAACGTATTGGTAGTTGCATACTAATCTCGTACGTCACACGAGTGTCGTATCGCGTTGACCTGTGTCGTAACGACTTGACCTGAGATTCTAACGATTTGATTGGATAACCGATGACCTCTCAATTAGGTCACATTCTGACGTAACTATTTTTTCATTCATAACAAACACGTGAATTCATTCATTCTACAACTTAAATGCATCGTGGGAATGTAAACATTGCGAACGTTGCCGTGTCGCTGCCTGCGGGAATATCAACATGGAGTACTGTAAACGTATTATATTTCGCGCAGGTTTTATTTTCCCGCTTTTCGCGCTAAACATTTTAGCGCGAAAATTTATACACCGCGAATAAACCTGTAATTCATACCAGGTCATTCATACATCAAGTTTGAAGACAGAAATCTACGGGAATCTTAAAATGACGACTGATAGCAGCAAAAAGAATCACACTTAACTGTTGCTGAAATGGATTTCCAAAAACATAATTAAATAATGAGCCAAATCCCATCGCCGAATTAGCGAAAACAGCAATGTGTGTTGTGGCCGCCATGGAAATTGGTCACATGACAGATGGTTTGATACAAAACGGATTACCATGAAACGACTCGGAAAGAAATAATACAGCAGTATTTTATTTATTCATTTAGATTTTATTTACCAGTACATCATGAAGCGAATAGTCACTTAACACTCAATCATCTCATTCACAACAACCCGGCTTGTTTGAAATCACAAAAAGCTTCATATACAGTAGAAGTTAATTCGTCAGATCATCAGAATTCGGAACATAAGACTGATGTGTTTTTCATCTCTTCCGGAGTAAACGGATTACTGTGTACTAGTATATCGCACAGATAGGGATTTCCTGTGAGTAAGCAATTAACGCCGCCCGACAGGTTAAGCCACTCTGTTTGTTTTCACTGCTATTAGTGGCGACCAAAGAGACAGCTGGCAGTTCTGGCAATTACTGATTGCGCGAATAATTGACCGCGCGATGTAGTCTAAACTGTCAATTCCGCGAAAATTGCACCACGCGAAAATAAGTACATTTACAGTATATTCTTATATCTAGCACTGTGCTCTGCCTGCAGGAATATCAACATCGAGTATACACTTATATCTATCACTGTCCTCTGCCTGCAGGAATATCAACATGGAGTATACGCTTATATCTATCATAGTGCTCTGCCTACAGGAATATCAACATGGAGTATACACTTATATCTATCACTGTGCTCTGCCTGCAGGAATATCAACATGGAGTATATGCTAATATCTATCACTGTGCTCTGCCTGCAGGAATATCAACATGGAGTATATTCTTATATCTATCACTGTGCTCTGCCTGCGGGAATATCAACATGGAGTATACGCTTATATCTATCACTGTGCTCTGCCTGCAGGAATATCAACATGGAGTATACGCTTATATCTATCACTGTGCTCTGCCTGCGGGAATATCAACATGGAGTATATTCTTATATCTATCATAGTGCTCTGCCTGCAGGAATATCAACATGGAGTATCACGGCTTATATCTATCACTGTGCTTATATTTATCACTGTGGCCAGCAGGAATATCAACATCGAGTGAGTATATTCTCTTATATCTATCACTGTGCTCTAGGAATATCAACATGGACTATATTCTTATATCTATCACTGTGCTCTGCCTGCAGGAATATCAACATGGAGTATACACTTATATCTAGCACTGAGCTCTGCCTGGGCGGAATATCAACATTGAGTATATTCTTATATCTATCACTGTGCTCTGCCTGCAGGAATATTAACATGGAGTATATTCTTATATCTATCACTGTGCTCTGCCTGCAGGAATATCAACATGGAGTATATTCTATATCTATCACGTCTCCGCCTGCAGGAATATCAACATGGAATATACTTATATCTAGCACTGTGCTCTGCCTGCAGGAATATCAACATGGAGTATATTCTTATATCTATCACTGTGCTCTGCCTGCAGGAATATCAACATGGAGTATACACTTATATCTAGCACTGTGCTCTGCCTGTGGGAATATCAACATGGAGTATATTCTTATATCTATCACTGTGCTCTGCCTGCAGGAATATTCAACATGGAGTATATTCTTATATCTATCACTGTGCTCTGCCTGCAGGAATATCAACATGGAGTATATTCTTATATCTATCACTGTGCTCTGCCTGCAGGAATATCAACATGGAGTATACGCTTATATCTATCACTGTGCTTATATTTATCACTGTGCTCTGCCAGCAGGAATATCAACATGGAGTATATTCTTATATCTATCACTGTGCTCTGCCCGCGGGAATATCAACATGGACTATATTCTTATATCTATCACTGTGCTCTGCCTGCAGGAATATCAACATGGAGTATACACTTATATCTAGCACTGAGCTCTGCCTGCGGGAATATCAACATTGAGTATATTCTTATATCTATCACTGTGCTCTGCCTGCAGGAATATTAACATGGAGTATATTCTTATATCTATCACTGTGCTCTGCCTGCAGGAATATCAACATGGAGTATATTCTTATATCTATCACTGTCCTCTGCCTGCAGGAATATCAACATGGAATATACACTTATATCTAGCACTGTGCTCTGCCTGCAGGAATATCAACATGGAGTATATTCTTATATCTATCACTGTGCTCTGCCTGCGGGAATATCAACATGGAGTATACACTTATATCTAGCACTGTGCTCTGCCTGTGGGAATATCAACATGGAGTATATTCTTATATCTATCACTGTGCTCTGCCTGCAGGAATATCAACATGGAATATACACTTATATCTATCACTGTGCTCTGCCTGCGGGAATATCAACATGGAGTATATTCTTATATCTATCACCATGCTCTGCCTGCAGGAAATCAACATGGAGTATATTCTTATATCTATCACTGTGCTCTGCCTGCAGGAATATCAACATGGAGTATATTCTTATATCTATCACTGTGCTCTGCCTGCAGGAATATCAACATGGAGTATACACTTATATCTATCACTGTCCTCTGCCTGCAGGAATATCAACATGGAGTATATTCTTATATCTATCACTGTGCTCTGCCTGCAGGAATATCAACATTGAGTATACGCTTATATCTATCACTCTGCTCTGCCTGCGGGAATATCAACATGGAGTATATTCTTATATCTATCACTGTGCTCTGCCAGCAGGAATATCAACATGGAGTATACGCTTTTATCTATCACTGTGCTCTGCCTGCAGGAATATCAACATTGAGTATATTCTTATATCTATCACTGTGCTCTGCCTGCAGGAATATCAATATGGAGTATACGCTTATATCTATCACTGTGCTCTGCCTGAAGGAATATCAACATTGAGTATACGCTCATATCTATCACTGTGCTCTGCCTGCGGGAATATCAAGATCGAGTATAGGCTCATATCTATCACTGTGCTCTGCCTGCAGGAATATCAACATCGAGTATACACTTATATCTATCACTGTGCTCTGCCTGCAGGAATATCAACATCGAGTATGCACATATCTATCACTGTGCTCTGCCTGCAGGAATATCAACATGGAGTATACGCTTATATCTATCACTGTGCTCTGCCTGAAGGAATATCAACATGGAGTATATTCTTATATCTATCACTGTGCTCTGCCTGCAGGAATATCAACATGGAGTATACACTTATATCTATCACTGTGCTCTGCCTGCAGGAATATCAACATCGAGTATATGCTCATATCTATCACTGTGCTCTGCCAGCAGGAATATCAACATGGAGTATACGCTTATATCTATCACTGTGCTCTGCCTGCAGGAATATCAACATCGAGTATACGCTCATATCTATCACTGTGCTCTGCCTGCAGGAATATCAACATGGAGTATACTCTTATTCTTGTCAATATTGCAGAGTCACAGCTTGACACTTGAGTAGACCACTCCAGTGGAAACAATGAGAGAGTTTAGTTCTAAGTTGCGTTCAGCAATATTCCAGTAATATCATTGTGGGCAATATCAGAAATGGGCTTCACACATTGCACCCATGTGGGGATTCAAACTCGGGTCTTCAGCATGACGAGCGAACACTTTAACCACTAGGCTACCCCACCACCCACTTGCTGATTCAAAAGCAAGTGGGTGACGATGAGAAGGTCCTTTTATACTGATAAGGTTTATGTACAGATTAGCATTTTTCAGAAGTCAAATACACCATCTCAAAACGAACAAGTGGTGCTACTCTCTGTACATGTGAGAAATTCAACCTAACTCTTTGATCAGACAATCAGGCACTTGATGACCTACACAAGCCAGTAGAAAACATTGAGAAATATTTCCTGTACATACCCATAGTCAGGATCAGAGTCATAGTCACCGTAACTGTCGAACAGATCAGTTGCATTGATTCCGACAGTGACATTTCCCTGTAATGAAAAGCAACAATATATTTATACGGGTTGCAAACCAAATTAAGAAAGATACCATTTCCGGGATATCATGGACGGGGGCATTGCATGGTGTATGGACAGCAAGTCTTCATGGATGAGAATGGTATATGAACAGGAAGGCTGCACCGATGGGAACAGTGTATAGATGAGAAGGTGGAATGGATGGGAAGACAATATATGAAAAGCATGTATGAATGGGAAGGATGGGTGGGGCGTCATGACACTCACCCTGGGGTTTGTTCTCTGTTGAAGACGTCTCTCTTCCCTTTCCCGTTGGAGACGCTCATACTCCGCGATAATCTCAGCTGGAGACTTGGTCCGTGATATAACCTGGTTAACATATGATAAACTGAATGAAATGAATTGAATGAATGACAATCCCAAAGGACATTCAAATTTAACTGAGCAAGTATGGTTTTATGCCGCTTTTAGCACTATTCCAGCAATATCACGGCAGGGGACACCTGAAATGGGCTTCACACCTTGTACCAATGTGGGGAATTGAAAGGGGTCTTTGGCATGACGAGCGGATGCTTTAACCACTAGGATATCCCACCGCCCTTCAAATTTAACTTATGCAACTTGTTTTTAACATTAAGTCATTGCACACTGTTGCTATACAGGTAGTCAAGGTGAGGTGGACCTTTCGTAAATCATGAAATCCAGACAACACAATCCACCAATGATCCACCCAGTCAGGGTACACAGACCAAGAACAATGACAATTATTATGGATATACAAGCAAGTGACACGTGCTTGACAACGACATTAGAACCTATGTCGAAACGTCGCCTCAACAGAATAAAAGAAGTTGTATATCCATAATAATTGTCATTATTCTTCATCAACTCAACTTCCAAAATGCACATCAAAGAAGTTACACGGACCAAGTCAATAGAAAACATGTTAGTTAGTTAGAAACAAGATATGTTACTTTTGCGTTTGAGTATAAGTTAAAGGGCACAAGCATCTCACCTCCAAACCTTCTGTCTCAAGACCTTTCTCTCCATACATGTCATAGATTGCCCTCTTGTGTCGGTCCTTTAAAACTAGAGACAAGAAACATAGGCACTCCGTGTTAAATCTACAATGACCATGTTAAGTTTTAAATTAAAGTTGGAGAAATAACTGACTGACTGCCTGACTGAGTTTAGTCTTACGCCACTTTTAGCAATATTCCAGCAACATCACGGAGGGGGACACCAGAAATGAGCTTCACACATTGTGCCCATGTGGGGATTCGAACCCAGGTCTTCGGCGTGACGAGCCAACGCTTTAACCATTAGGCTACCCCACCGCCCCGGAGAAATAACTACCTTTTACACTTTTACAGCTGGAAATTAGCCTTTCTCATGTCCCCAAAAAATGTTAATAGGAAAATCAAGACAAAATAATTATTTGTTTGTTCAACAGCAGTATTCTAGTCATATGAAGGCGACCAAAAAGAAATTAAAGCTGGGCCATCCAGTCACATCATGAGCATCAGTTTATGAGCATACACAAAGTGAGTGAGTGAGTTTAGTTTTACGCCACACTCAGCAATATTCCAGCTATATGGCGGCGGTCTGTAAATAATCGAGTCTGGACCAGACAATCCAGTGATCAACAGCATGAGCATCGATCTGCGCAACTGGGAACCGATGACAGTCAGCGAGCCTGACCACCCGACCCGTTAGTCGCCTGTTAAAACAAGCATGGGTTACTGAAGATCAATATTCCAACCCTGACCTTCACGGGTGCATACACAAAGTAGACGATATGGACCACCAGTTGTCAGACATTTTGTGGAAGCCGTCATGGGTGAGTGAGTTAGAGCACTGACTTTGTGTGCTGGTACCTGACTCTGAGAGTGTGGAATCCCTGATGTGTCTCAGCCCCTAACAAGTACTAGTAGTCACTACTAGAATCTGTACTTTACTGATTAATGTAATCCCATATGATATGTATAATGTGCTACATTTGACTGCCTCCTAAAGAGCATTGTGCATTCATCTTAGAGTTAGTTGACATACAACGTAGAGTTCGAGGGTCTTGAATAAAACCTGGGACTGTAACACTACAAACAGTACTAACACTGGCCCATGTCTAATTAACCTGAACCACATAACTGCCTTGTTTGATAAGCATAAGTTGCTGTTCACCTATTTGAAAACAGAATTCCCATGAGGAGAAAAGCATGCGTTGCTAGGCACCTCTCATAACCCCACAGAATCTCCATAGGGAGACAAGCTTAAGTTGCTAGGCACTTCTCTTAACACAGAATCCCTATAGAGAGACAAGCTTAAGTTGCTAGACACCTCTCTTAACCCCACAGAATCCCTACAGGGAGACAAGCTTAAGTTGCTAGACACCTCTCTTAACCCCACAGAATCCCTACAGGGAGACAAGCTTAAGTTGCTAGACACCTCTCTTAACCCCACAGAATCTCCATAGGGAGACAAGTTTAAGTTGCTAGACACCTCTCTTAACCCCACAGAATCCCTACAGGGAGACAAGCTTAAGTTGCTAGACACCTCTCTTAACCCCACAGAATCCCTATAGGGAGACAAGCTTAAGTTGCTAGACACCTCTCTTAACCCCACAGAATCCCTATAGGGAGACAAGCTTAAGTTGCTAGCACCTGTCTTAACCCCACAGAATCCCTATAGAGAGACAAACATAGGTTGCTAGCACCTCTCTTAACCCCACAGAATCCCTATAGAGAGACAAACATAGGTTGCTAGCACCTCTCTTAACCCCACAGAATCCCTACAGGGAGACAAGCTTAAGTTGCTAGACACCTCTCTTAACCCCACAGAATCCCTATAGGGAGACAAGCTTAAGTTGCTAGACACCTCTCTTAACCCCACAGAATCCCTATAGGGAGACAAGCTTAAGTTGCTAGCACCTGTCTTAACCCCACAGAATCCCTATAGAGAGACAAGCATAGGTTGCTAGCACCTCTCTTAACCCCACAGAATCCCTATAGAAAGACAAGCATAGGTTGCTAGCACCTCTCTTAACCCCACAGAATCCCTATAGAGAGACAAGCATAGGTTGCTAGCACCTCTCTTAACCCCACAGAATCCCTATAGGGAGACAAGCTTAAGTTGCTAGACACCTCTCTTAACCCCACAGAATCCCTATAGGGAGACAAGCTTAAGTTGCTAGCACCTGTCTTAACCCCACAGAATCCCTATAGAGAGACAAGCATAGGTTGCTAGCACCTCTCTTAACCCCACAGAATCCCTATAGAGAGACAAGCATAGGTTGCTAGCACCTCTCTTAACCCCACAGAATCCCTATAGAGAGACAAGCATAGGTTGCTAGCACCTCTCTTAACCCCACAGAATCCCTATAGAGAGACAAGCATAGGTTGCTAGCACCTCTCTTAACCCCACAGAATCCCTATAGAGAGACAAGCATAGGTTGCTAGCACCTCTCTTAACCCCACAGAATCCCTAAAGGGAGACAAGCTTAAGTTGTTAGCACCTCTCTTACACAGAATCCCCAAAGGGAAACAAGCATAAGTTGCTAGGGACCTATTCTGACACAGATTCATCACGAGGCGAGTTGCCTAGAGTTGCTTCACACCTCACGAGGGGACATGCATAACTTGTTGGGGGTGTATTCTAACACAGAATCCCCAAGGGTTGATGAGTATAAGTTGCTGGGGTGCATTTCTATCAAAGAATCCCCATCATGGAAGAATATAACAACAACCACAAAGACTACCAAACATGAGAACAAACCTTCATTTGCACGTTTAAGTTTGTTGAAGATAACTTCTGCCTTCTTCTTCTTCACTGGGTCTGTGTGTTTGTCAGGGTGGTAGGTCTTACTTAGTCGGCGGAAGGCATAGTTAATTTCATCTGTCGATGCCTGCAAAAAAGGTTCCAAGTTACAAAGTCCACAGCCAAAACATAATTACAGTCTTCGATATTCACACTATTCAGCTAACCCCAAACAATTAAATTCTGCTGAAGACCAGAAATATGGGACACAACAAAAGTACTGGAATCTGTACTTTACTAAGAAAGTGTAATCCCAAATATAACATATGTAACAAGAAAGAAGCTATTGATTGTAGTCCTCAATGACTGGAATCATTTCATTCCGAACCAGTTCTCATTGCTTCAATTTTACTATAGATTGGAACTGAATATGTTGACACTAATGGCGGAACACATACACCGACCCAGACCCCCATGGTACCAAAATTATCATGCCCATCCTGTTGCTACTGCGTCCGTATGTACCTTCAAGCTGTTAAAAACCAGGGTAGGTAACTCTACCACTACCTATGACACTGGTTGTCAAGATATAAATATGGAAACAATTCTTGCTCTTTATACCTGTATAACACGTCACGATATATGATACATAAACCAGATCCAGCGTGATTAGTTTTGTTCCAATGTCACATAACGTGACAACTCAAATGAACAGCTGATTGAGAAACTTGATTGATCAGTCAGTACGTAGCATTACCAAATGGTCAAATCAAATCCAAACAGTTTAGTTATTATCATATTTCAGAAGGACCGTAAAACAAGGTGGCAAAATTACTTTGTTAATCCAGAATTCCACTGCTTCTGATTTCAAACCAAAATCAGACTCATCTTGACATCATCATGATTACATCAGATATAATAAACATCACATGAGATTTCAGATTTGACCTATAGCTTTTACACCTTTAGTTGGAAGTGACATTTTAAAAGAAGTCTTACATCCGTAGACACATTCAAAAGCGAGTAAAAGTTTTCGGAGACCGGGTCCTCGTCGTCCTCCAAGGGCGCAGCCATTTTGTGGAAGTGATGTAACTGTGTATGCTACTATCCAAAGAACATATTTCAAGTTATTTATCGCTGTGCAATAAAAAACTAGAAACTATTTGTTTGGGTGTACGGGTAACTATCCTTTCGGTTATCAAAGAAATCAAAATAAAGTATTTAGGACATAGGTATATTTTATAATCATGTATAAAAGCAACGACGCCCCTTAGAGTTTTCGGGACAAGTCCCTAATTTACAAGATACGGTTTATTGGATTAGTTTCTTTTTAAGGCTTGGTGATTGACTAACATTTTGTCCGAGAAATAAATTTCCCTTAAATGAGAAATATATGTATATAAGATATTAAATATAATCCAAAACGTATCCCAGAAGAGGGGTGAATTCAGGTCTAGACTTGAGGCAAATAATTCAGGATTTTCTCACTTTTTTCTATGGTTAGCAACGAATTATGTACGTGTCTTGTTTATATGTGTATAAGTGTGTGTAGGTATATATATACAATGTACATGTATATCATCTATGTATCTGTATGTATGTACGTACGCCCCCATATATATGTATACACACAAACTTGTAACCGATGGTGAATAAAGAAAAAACAAATTATTGTATACTAGAGTTTAATTCATTCTCTAGGGTCTGGGTGCAGGATAGCTCGGTGTCTGAATGAGATTACTGAACGAATTGAAGATATTATTCATTTTTTATTGACACGAAGTGAATTAATAATATTAGAAAGTATGTGATGATATCATGACATGGATTATGCTATTAGTTAAAATTTCCATATCTATATTTTATCAAGAGTAGTATAGAATATCATATCAGTGCTGTTTTTATCAATTGTTCATATCCTTGAATGAGGAAACTTTTCTTGGTTTCACAAAATATGGTTAATCACCAATGTAAGTCTAGTCATTTTCACAATAATTACCAAGTTACTGACATAATTAATTCTCTTCATACTATCACTATGTACAGAATGATATCAGACAAAACTTTATTATTGCTTTCTTACTGATATCACGAAAATAAAAATATGTCCAAATAATTAATGATATCGTGAAATTAATTAATGCTATCATTTAAAAGACAGTACATCAGTTTTTATTATCATATTAACAATAAATAATTAGTTGCCAAATTGTCAAGGGTGACAATTAGTTTGAAGAGTTGTGTCCCTTTGCAGAGATAGGAACTTGTAATCGTGAGTTCGAATTCCAGATTCGCCTTTTCCCACACTGTCTCCCTAATGCTTAGGGCTGTCATTTACGACATAGTGAGGTGTGTTCCATTCCAAGTGTATGGCGATCTGCCATTTAACTAATCCTTTCTAGAGGAATATAATGATCTAGAGCTAGGCATTATGCATCTCGTTATAAATGTTCACGTCAAACATCTAGTCTCTGAAATGAAAATATTTTACAGAAACTGTTTCCTAAATTACATTCATCAAAATATAATAAAAATGACTCCGGAGACTTTCTTCATTTTCAAAATCAGTGGTAATCTAGACTTGTCTCATATTCTAGACTTGCATAGGCTCTATTGGATATATTAGTTTCAGTGTCTGACAAACTATTGATATCATTGTGAACATAGAGACAGAAACACAAAATGTATTTACAACCTGTGAGTGAATGAATGAAGTTTTATGCCACAGCTACATGGCCGCAGCCAGGACCTGAAACTGTGAAAATCTAGACTTGCCATATATTCTAGACTCGCATGGGCTATATTGGGAATATTTGTTTCAGGGTTTGTATAACACACTATAAATGTGCTATCTTGGTTTGTTTCCCCAACGTAAAGCAGGGGCAACACTGCAGTAAACGTTTTGTAGACTTAACGTCACTTTGTACTTTTCTCATATAGACATATTCGGCGTCATGCATTTTCTGTATAGTGAATCTTCAAAGCGGCGTAAACCCACTCACTCACTCTGAAATGGCTGATTGTGGGTTCGCTCTGCTTAGTCGCTTCATACCAATGCACGGTAACTAATCGTACGTGTTGTAACCATAGCAGGAGCTAAATGAGCGGACAAAACATAGACAACTCAGCTCGAATAAGAGCCCATATAATAAAATTATTATCATTATTATATGGTCTCTCCTCGAATTAAGTCAGTATACTAAGTCAGAGTGGGGAATACATGTTAAACTGCAACATAGTATAGTATGACCAGAAATTATAGAAAATTTCAGGAATATTTCTAGTATAAACAACCGTGACCAGCTTTCAAGTGCTTGGTTTCATTCAAGAGAGACAACTCCGTTAATCCTTTTTCGTTAGCCTTTGTTTACTTGCTAGCAGACGACATTTTCAGTGATCCTCAGTATGGATGATTTAGAGAAGAGGAAGTTGATTTTAGAGTATTATAACAGGGATATCAGATCAGCTAAAGTGATTTCAAGTAGAACAGGCATCCCTCTGTCCACTGTTTATCGTGTTTTGAAAAATATTGCAAATGGATATGGCATTGAGCACAAGGGAGGCGCAGGTAGGCCCTGAAAATTGACTGTCGGTGACAGGAGGCGGCTTGGTATTCTTGTTTCTAAAAATAAACGAAGGAGTTTAGAAAACTTAAGGCTGGATATGATTGATAGAGGAACTGTGGCTGTCTGTATAAGGAGACAATTAGAACTGAGCTGCATGCAATGGGTTGGAAGAAAAGTCGAGGAATTCTATCACCGATCATGAAACCTGAACAAAAGGAGCGAAGGTTGAACTGGTGCTTACAGCATAGACATTTTAACTGGGACAATGTGATTTTCTCAGATGAAAGTTCTGTGTGGCTGTTTCCTAATACACTGAAATTCTGGACCAAAAAAACTGAGAAACCTTTGTATCAGCTCCCAAAGTACAGTCCGAAATTTAACGTGTGGGGTGGCATATCTGTGTTAGGGGCAACGCCCCTCTGTGTATTTGAAGGGAATATGAACAGTGAGCGGTACACAGATATTCTCGAAGGACATTTACTTCCATCTGCTCACGTGTTCTATGGAAATTTTGGGATTTTCCAGCAGGACAACGACCCAAAACATCATTCAAAGCATTCACAGGCCTGGTTTCGGACCCAAAATATGACATTATTAGATTGGTCAAGCTATATCCCTGACCTAAATCCAATAGAAAATGTTTGGGGACTTATGAAGGAAAGTGTCAACAAGAAAAATCTGACAAATATTGCTGAAATGAAAGAAGAGGTGGTCCGATATTGGGACAGCATGGACCACGACTTTCTAACGTCTTTGATCAGTAGTATGCCCCGCCTGCATTGCTGCCCATGGTGACTTGACAAAATACTAACTGTTCACCTGTCTTTGAATCTGGAGTTATGTTCTGCTAATATTCACATTTAATACGTGAGTAATGAATGGAAAAATAATTTTTTTTACAATCTTTAAATTCTGAATAATTTCTGGTTGTACTGTATCTCAGTGGGCTCCATCATACAACCAGCATTAGTCCGAACTAGAACAAACAGCTACACATACATGTATTCACATTGCAACGTAAGTGAAACACGACATTAAACACCTTTTCGCACCACCTCATCTTACCCTGAAGAGTAAGTGAGTGAATTTAGTTGTACGCCGCTTTTAGCAATATTCCAGCAATATCATAGCGGGGGGACACCGGAAATGGGCTTCACAAATTGTACCTGTGTGAGGAATCGTACCCGGTCATCGGCGTGAAGAGTAAATCACTAGGCTACCCCACCACCCCTTACCCAAAAGAAGACCTTGGGACAGAAATAGGTGCTGTTCGTGCAAGAGTCAGCCTTATTAAGTGAGTGGGTGGTTTCTTTGTGTTTTGCATGACCCGACTGCACCCCGCCTGGAGTCCAAATATTTTGTTTCAAAATAACCCTGCTATTTTTTCCGAACTTGATAACATAACTGTTTTCCCTTTCAGCACTTATATTGCTTTTATGAATGTTACAAAACAATATTAAAGTTTTAGTATATTTCTGTTTATCTATGAAAGATATACAAAATGGAATTTGAGCTCATGTATAAAGAAAATTCACGGCTTACAGCATTCCATGTACCTCTGACTTAGTTACCCATGAAAGCAATGACTTTGCAACTTCCCCGTCCTGCTGCAAATACATCTTCTTTTATAGACACTACAGGTGTCGCAACGTTGATTTCGGGTAATTATTTTCTAATCCGGAATTACCATTTGTTTTGGATTATTTCAGCAAACCTTCTTTTCTTCTATGAAAATGTTTAACCAAATTATATTTAGCTGCTGGTAATGACTGCACACCGACTTGTGCAAAGACACAATATTAAAACGATTTGAGGTTTGAGGTTTGCGCCAATTCTTGTTATTTTTTTATATTTAAGCACGTTTTTATCCGTTCTACCAATCAACTTTCTCCAGTATTTCCATATATACAGGAAATGCCAAAATATCACAGAGGAATGTAAAATTGGCTTTCATTTCAGGTGTTGATTCGTCTGTTTGGAAATTTCGGTTTCCCATTCAGTGGTTTGACTGGAGTTTGACTAGCAGACGACGCATCTTGCTGACAATAGTTGTGCGGAAGATACGATTCTGCTTTATGTGAGTTTATTTACTAATGCAGCAGTTATACAGCTTCATATTAACTCCAGACCACCCATTTCATTTTATCGTGTGTTTGCAGTCGCGCTATACCTTCATAAAAGCGAGTATTTACCAGAAAACTGTTGACCCGGCTATGTCTCGTTTCCGGTTGCGCATGTGCAGAGTGATTATGATGGCCGACGAGAAGGTGGAAGTGAAGATGTGAGTGAAAATTGTTTTTGTTGAATAGTTTCACACTTGTCTTCAATAGCAAAATGTACTATTGGTATATGATATGTATACGTAACAAGAACATCCATGCTTCGTTTTTGTAGTAACTCATAGCTTGTGTTGAAAATATTTTGTGTTGTAAAAAGTCTAGTTAATCGTTTGACAATTTTTTGGATATGTCAACATTGACAAGTGAAGAACACAAACAGACCTACAAACAACAACATAGGTTACGTGAGTTTCAGCCGTACGTGTAGTCTAAAAAATCAGTGAGTCAGAGATTCTCATGGTAACAATGCATCTTTTTATTGTCCTCACTTTGCCTTTGATTATTTGCTACAATGAGTCGATTTGGTTAATTTTGCTTCAGTCACTTAATCAGAATTTGTTAGAAGTTATTGATGTTATTGATTGTTAAACAATGTTAATAACCCTGAATGTTGGAATTATTGCATGAATTGTACATATTCTAATCACTTGAATATGTGAGCTACATGTAAAATAATGCCAGGGTGTATGAGAAGGCTTGTTCACATATCTATTTGCTTATTAATCAGACTGCAGCTTGGCTTAATGGAGGTGTGTTAGTTGTTTGATTTGTGATCATTGTTGCATTCACTGATCTGTGATATGATGCTAACTATTGTTTACATCCTTAAATGACTGATCTCACTTTTGCAGGTAGATGGTGCTTTATGTCAGTCATCTAGACACTCCCACTCTTTGTGTCTTTTAACAATGGATACCACTAGAGGATAAATCACAAATATTGATTGTAACTGGCCTTGACCTACGAACCAATTAACTGTAGAATATTTCCTCAACTTTCATCAGTCAAGGTGAGTTCAGAGATTTGTTTTTCTTCTGTTTATCTTGTTATTTCATTTGAATATTATTAAATAAAGTCTTGTGCTGACATCTCAACTGTTACACATTTGTTTCATGTGCTGATATGAAATACTGTACATATTGGGGCATATAACTACAAGGCACAAAAAATTGCTAAGCAGCATAAGCCTGCTTCTCTGATCCAATGTTGGTTCAAATCCTAGATTGTTTCTAGACTTGTCAGAACCATCCCCATGTTTACTGTGTTGTTCAGACTGGTAGGTACCTGAGACCTGTATCAATGTAGGTTTTCCACCTGCCTCAAGCTGACACGTTTTATTGCTGAAGTATATAATACTTCAAAGCAGCAATTAATGAAATTAAGAACTAGTGCCTCGCGTTATGATACAATGTTAGCAGGCACACAGCCAAGTGTGTCATGGTCTGAATACACTGCAATATCTTGGGTAGCCTAGGGGTTAAATCGTTCACTCATCATGCTGAAGGCCCAGGTTCGATTATCGACATGGGCACAATATGTGAAGCCCATTTCTGGTGTCCCACGCCATGATATTGCTGGAATATTGCTGAAAGCAGCATAAAACCCAAATTGCTCACTCACTCACTTTGGAAGCAATGACTAACAAAATGATAACAAACATGACAAATACCATTCTGTGAAAGTTAAAGATTTTGGTCTACATCCACAAAGCAATCATAGCACTAAAACCGTCATAAGTCTCGGTTAAAGTCTAGGAGGTAGAGATGTCTTTTATCTACTTCTGCTAAGCATGATCAAAGACTGTCACAAGTTTACATATTATGTCATTACTAAAAATATGTTCAGACTAAGTTGTTCTATATCAGAAATGTGCTGGAAATTTTACTTAAATGTGTACTTTGATCCAACAAACTTATAGCTTTAAGTTTATCTACATTATTAGAACCAATGAAATGTGTTGGTACTAAATTGGTAATTTTGCAAGCAAATAATTCATCTAACATGCTTATTGGCAACAGAATTCTAAAGAGAGGGCACCATTTGTAAATTGAGCATGTTTCCAAATAAAGAACAGGATAAAATACAAAAGTAAAGTTAGCATGATGTGTCACATTTTATCAGTAATTTTACTTGATGATATTCTTTGCTACTATAATCATGGTAAAGGTGGTGTTTACAACTGATAGCAACCAATTAATCATTGTGTTGTACTTGACACAAACTGTTGTAGAATATATTGTGTAATACTGAGAATAGCATAGCAACCAATTAATCAGCATGTACTTGACACATACTGTTGTAGAATACATTGTGTAATACTGAGAACAGCATAGCAACCAATTAATCATCGTGTTGTACTTGACACAAACTCTTGTAGAATACATTGTGTAATACTGAGAACAGCATAGCAACCAATTAATCATCATGTTGTACTTGACGCAAACTGTTGTAGAATACATTGTGTAATACTGAGAACAGCATAGCAACCAAGTAATCATCATGTTGTACTTGACACAAACTGTTATAGAATACATTGTGTAATACTGAGAATAGCATAGCAACCAATTAATCATCGTGTTGTACTTGACACATACTGTTGTAGAATATATTGTGTAATACTGAGAACTGCATAGCAACCAATTAATCATCGTGTTGTACTTGACACAAACTGTTGTAGAATACATTGTGTAATACTGAGATCAGCATAGCAACCAATTAATCATCGTGTTGTACTTGACACAAACTGTTGTAGAATACATTGTGTTGTACTTGACACAAACTGTTGTAGAATACATTGTGTAATACTGAGAACAGCATAGCAACCAATTAATCATCATGTTGTACTTGACACAAACTGTTATAGAATACATTGTATAATACTGTGAACAGCATAGCAACCAATTAATCATCATGTTGTACTTGACACTCATCATGTTGTACTTGACACAAACTGTTATAGAATACATTGTGTAATACTGAGAACAGCATAGCAACCAATTAATCATCGTGTGGTACTTGACACATAGGTGTCCTCCCATTACACAGACAGGCAGTTCGTTGACACATAGGTGCAGACGCATTAAAACAACAACATTTATGGTTCAATGCACAGGTGAGCTACTGTCTGTTACCTACACATTACAATGGAATAGTCCAAATAAAAACACAAGAATAAATAACTGGAGCTATAATATTTACTTTGAGGGATAGCCGAAAAGACATTAATTTTAATATTGATTGCTGCAATATAAAAATAGTTGATTTTCATAAACTTTTGGGTTTAACTATTCTTGTCTAACGGGAGTCAGTGGCATCATATTGAAAGCATTGTCGAAAGACATCTAAAATGGTTGGAGCATTTCAGAAATTAAAGTTCCTACTAAATAGAACAACACCAGATTCTCTTCAGGATTTACACCCACCTGTAGTAGGCAACCGGACCTGTTTTGAGTTAAAAAAACTCGAATAATTTTATCCAACATGTACCAGACTGAGGTACAATCTTATATTCCATCAGCAGTTAAAATGTGGAATAGTATTCCCGTAGCTATTTGAAATTGCGACTTTATTGCATCATTTAAATCTTATATCCATGTGAAAGAAAAATGTGCACCTAATTACTGTTCATATGCAATAAGGGAGTTAAATGTTTTGCACACAAGATTAAGATACATGGTTAGTACACTTAATTATGATTTATTTAGAGTAAATATAAATAAAATGGCTCATCATGTCAATGTGGCAATGGATGTGAGAATGTTTTTCATTACTTCCTTGAATGTCATTTGTACACTATTCAAAGACACAAACTGTTACAATCTGTAAAAATTAGATCACTGATTGGTATTAATCTTATCTTACATGGCCATGCAGGTCTCTCAAATACTGAAAATCAGAATGTTTTCTAATATGTACATAGCTATATAGCTCAAACAAAACGTTTTCTCACTTAAATTCCGTTGTATATATCCTATTATTGGGAGAAGGCTTTTCAAAGTTAAATAGCTTAACCCTTTTTTGAATGAATATAATATGTTTTAATTATTTCAGTTCTATTTACATACAATCAAACTTCTCAGTAACGGACCTGTTTCAGGCTCACCCTACTCTACTCACTAGACAGTGGACTGTTCTATTATCATGATTATACCCATAGGTGTTACCTTGATTAACCTTCTTGTTCAGTGTCTTTCAACTGACTGTCTGTCAAATGGGTGTCTGTCAATTGGGAGATAACCGACACATACCATTACCAATATATTGTGTAATACTGAGAACAGCATAGCAACCAGTTAATCATCGTGTTGTACTTGACACTACTGTTGTAGAATACATTGTGTAATACTGAGAACAGCATAGCAACCAATTAATCATCGTGTTGTACTTGACACAAACTGTTGTAGAATACATTGTGTAATACTGAGAACAGCATAGCAACCAATTAATCATCATGTACTTGACACATACTGTTGTAGAATACATTGTGTAATACTGAGAACAGCATAGCAACCAATTAATCATCATGTACTTGACACAAACTGTTGTAGAATATATTGTGTAATACTGAGAACAGCATAGCAACCAATTAATCATCATGTTGTCACATCCAGAACTTTGTAGACAGTAGAGTCCATTATATAATACAGAGCAATCAAAAAAGCATATAACACTAACAGTATTTATTACCTACGAGGGCGAAAATATCGGGGTTCATATATTTCATATGATGCCCTAGGGCAAATATCACTTTGTCATAGTGACATAACATCATGAACAATGCTATGATGTCACGTTTCTTCTATGACATTGGGTTCTACATGCGGCTACGGCGGGTTGAAAGTAGGTTTAGGTTTATTTTCCTCAATTTGATGACTTCGGTAATAAATAGAATATTATATTCGTTCCCATATCATACTGTGTTTATGACGCTTGTGCCTAAACATCAGTATATCCCTCGCTCTCATTCGGGAAATACCAACATTTAAGCACTCATGTCGTAAACATAGTATGACATGGGCACTCATATAATATCCTCTATATATTGCACATCCAGTTTTAGAATCCATTATGTAATACAGAGAACAGTGTAACAACCAATCAAAAAGCATGTAATGTAACTGTATATATTGTATATATACAGAGAACAGTGTAACAACCAATCAAAAGCATGTAACTGTATATCATGTATATATTGCACATCCAGTTGTAGAATCCATTATATAATACAGAGAACAGTGTAACAACCAATCAAAAAGCATGTAACTGTATATCATGTATATATTGCACATCCAGTTGTAGAATCCATTATGTAATACAGAGAACAGTGTAACAACCAATCAAAAAGCATGTAACTGTATATCATGTATATATTGCACATCCAGTTGTAGAATCCATTATGTAATACAGAGAACAGTGTAACAACCAATCAAAAAGCATGTAACTGTATATCATGTATATATTGCACATCCAGTTGTAGAATCCATTATGTAATACAGAGAACAGTGTAACAACCAATCAAAAAGCATGTAACTGTATATCATGTATATATTGCACATCAAGTTGTAGAATCCATTATGTTATACAGAGAACAGTGTAACAACCAATCAAAAAGCATGTAACTGTATATCATGTATATATTGCACATCCAGTTGTAGAATCCATTATGTAATACAGAACAGTGTAACAACCAATCAAAAAGCATGTAACTGTATATCATGTATATATTGCACATCCAGTTGTAGAATCCATTATGTAATACAGAGAACAGTGTAACAACCAATCAAAAAGCATGTAACTGTATATATTGCACATCCAGTTGTAAATGTGTTATATAATACTATGTACAGTGAGACCTCGGATATCCGGACACATTTGTTTTCACGTAAATCATCCGGATAATTGAATATCCGGATATCTGGATTTTTGGTTTTCATTCACCTTTAGGATAATCCAAAATGATTATGATCATCAAGCCTTTATTGTACATGTATAGACATTAAAAAACAGCATCACAACATAATAATCATACCTTTACAATTATTCAGTTTTGAAAAAGTCTTTCATTGAGGACTGCTTACACTGGGTGCCGCTGCTTTGCAACACGATAGAGAACATTTTGACTTGAATATCGAGACACTGCACTTTTATTGCTTTGGCTGAATAAACAACTTAACAGTTAGAACTCAATGTGTCAGCTAGGCCTACTAATCACCACCAATACCTTGCTGACCGATCATTCATCTGGATTAGCAGACCATGTCTTGTGTCAAAACACGTGGGACTCTCGTGCATCCCTTCACACGGTCAGCGGTAGATCAAAGCTTCGTGCGGATACGCGAGTCAATTTTGTGTTGATTTAGCCGGTTGGTTTGTAAAATATACCGTCCGGAAACGGAAACCGAATATCCATTATAGACAGTCACTTTTATAACGTAAGAGATTGGTTTTCTAAAAAGATTGACCGGAAGGCGAGGTTTCCTGATATCTGGGGTCCGGGTATCCGAGGTCTCACTGTACATTATAACAAGCAATATACAACATACTGTATATGTCACATTCAGTTTGATAATGTTTTATGTGATACCAAGAACAGCATAGCAACCAATTAATCAGCATGTTGTACATCTGACACATACAGGTGTAGAATCTGTCATGTAATACTGAAAACATAATCAAATCTATTTGGAGCTTGGTTACATGTGGATTTTATCATGCTAATGTAAACATTTGAATCCTCATGCTGTGGGTTCATTTCCAGATTCAACTTAGCACAGTTAAACAGAGTATGTTTATCTCCTAAATCATCTGGATCACAGGTTCACTGTGGGCATACCTGTTGTTTGGTGGAGCTGACAGTCACACTGTGATAATATACCCATGGTAGCCCCAAGTAGAATGTGTCACCAATGCTCCTTTACTTGTCATTAAGTACAAAGTTAGACATGGCCCATAGTTCATTAGCTTAAAGCAGTATGGAGGGACTTGTTTCTTATCAAATATGGCTATGTTACAAGTCTGCAAGTCTGAAATGAGAGGTTAAGTAATTTGGTATGACCAACGGTGTCTAACCCTGAAGAGGAAACTAAATTGCAAACCTACAGGGATTCTAGGTTAGAACAGGTACCGGTACCTTACCTTATATTCTACGGTCCATCAATTCATTATTACATCAAAACGTTTTGATTCATAAAGTTTTGTAGCTTCTCTTATTTTTTTATTTGTATCAACTGGCCACGAAACAAGACCAAGATAAATTGTTGATATCCATGATTGTTATTATTCAGAGATAACTTTATATAACCACTATAAATATTTACAACATTATGCACAAATGTGAACCTTCACATGTATTATGGAACGGCATTAATATAAGCCATTTAGGCTTGTTTGCCAATCCTTTTCTTTCTTCTTGAATAGAATAAAATATCTTTAAACCAGGTACCCGGTACCTTACAGCATGTGCTGGTCAGAGGAGGTGATTTTGTTGATGATTTGGATTTGTGTTTATGTCAATCACTGGATTGTCCATGTTGCCAGAGCCATACTCAGGGTAGTGACATATGTCTTTACACTGATTTTACAAAGGGGGTTAGTTTCCAGGCTACTGAAGAACTATTACAGCATATTCCTTTGACCGAACAAAATTAACATTTTTGAATCCTGATTACAGATAGTGCCATAACATCAGCCATGTTGACCATAAAAGCATGTGAATATTGCCACTGGTCTGAAGTGCAAGTCCAGTAAAATTCTGTTTGATCAAGTTACCTTGGTTAATAGTCACTATAATGACATTGCTGTCTAAGGGATAGTCTGTCGTACACACCCTGAAGCAAATATATCCAAGAAAGCCCACACAAGTCTAGAAAATGTGACAAGTCTAGATTTCCTCAGCTCTGAAAATGAAGAAAGTCTCAGGGCTCCTTTTCATTATTATTATTTTTTTTTTACTATGAACTTTTTTCAGTAAAATATGTTCATTTCAGAGACTAGTTGTTAGTCTATCTAAGGGAGTGAATATGATTTTACACCACTTTTAGCAGTGGGGATGCCTGAAATGGGCTTCATTCATTGTACCCACGTGGGAAATCAAACCCGTGTTTTCAGCATGATGAGGGAACCCTACCCACTTCCCCTGACCTCTACAGGAAAATAGTGCTAGGAGCAAGTAGACTTGAATGATTTTGGCACAGACTTGTATCCAGTGTTCAATATAAGGGGTGTCCATAAAGTTTGCCCTGTGTTATTTGATTGTAGGGAACCTAAATCATTTATGTTTGGTTTTTTTCACCATTGATCATTCTTGATATGATGTGTCACTGAATGGTGATTTCTGTTTCAGATTAAGTGTTATGTAAGGACCTCCTCACTGGAGTTCGGAGTGACCCTGACACCATGGAAGAGCCAGCAGGGAACCCCGCTCCAGGCAACATGTCAGGTGAGTGAGGGACTCCTATGCACTGGTGTAACCATGGCAGTGTCCATGTGCAGCCTTAAGTCGTGGTTGCATGTTCACAAAACTGTCCTATTGCTAGATAGTTGTCTTCACTCAAGGTTATCTTAAATTTAGGACAAATATTAAGACATAGTCGAACCTGTTGCATATATATATGTGTGTGCGTGTGTGTGATGAATGTTTGCGTAAGTGGAAGTGACAATTTCAGTCTTGGGAATCCTTGACAAGTCGATGATGTCATTGGGTACCCCTACCTTATTTTACTTCTTTCACATTACATGCCTTTGTCCTAGCTGGGAACTGTGTCTGCAGTTGAATAATGTCGGAATCAGTTTAGGACAACTTCAATAGCTGCTTTTATTGTGGCAGTTGTAATTTTAGAAGTAAATCGCTAAGGTTTGTCTTAGATAATGTGCTCACACTATTGGCCACTGGTTTGTCTGGTCAATGTATGTATAGTTGTATGGCTGATGTCTGAATGGATAGAATAAACGGCAATATGTCGAGATAAGAGTGCGTCACTATATCAATGTGAGCAAGGAACATTACATTTTGTGCAGTATTGTCATGCATGCCTTAACATCATGAATTATGGTATGTATGGGTAATTATTGTGCACACCTTTTAATAAGCACTGCAGTTAAGCTTGTGTGGAAATGTATTGTCGCAATAAAGTATTTCAATAGTAATGTTGTAAAAGCATACATTATATATATATTGTGTATGGTCCTTCTATTTTGAATTGCATTCCTTCATCAAACGAAATTACCACATTATGACTACACATTCTTGACAAGATATTCACATATGCTTGTAGGATGTAGGATTTCAAATTTCAAATGAAATTGCCAAGCTCAAACTTTTGGACAGTTATTTTCCTGTTACAGCAGATAGAGAGGTCAGTGTTTAGGGCGAACCCTAGTCTGTCTCACAGTCCCTGAACCATATTATTTTCCCCAATGCTTAGCCCTCCCTGCAATGCTAAAGCCCTAAATGAAGCAAGTCTAGATTTCCTCAGGTTCCTGAATCTCTGGTCTCTGGGGCTCCTTTTCAACTTAAATGGGTTTATTTGCTACTATCACAATTATATGTATTCAGGGACTAAACGTTAGTCTATGCTAACCCTAACTGACTTTTCTACTGACATTTGACCTTGACCTTGCCTTCATCACTAGCAGATGACCCCACCCATTTATTTTTATGGCCCTTTAACTTGAGTATCTCTGTTGACAACTGTTGACATAGAGTGCTCCCTGTCAAGTGTATTGATAAGGCCATTTATCAGTTACAGGATGTGCCTGTAGTCTTATCCTGGCAATAATACAATGTTCTTGCACCAATAACAGTCAATATATTCACAGTTGTTTGTGGCTGCTAGTTTGCCATCATGCATTTTTAGAAGTAAATTACAAGCAGTATATCTATTTGACAGAGGCTTATTTATTTATATTTATTGTATTTTATATCAGGGATAAACCTGCTCAGAAAAGATATAGGAAAAAATCTCACATGGGACCAAAAACATGAGATATTTTCAAATCTTATGAGATTTAACTGTTCATGATCGTTCACAAGAAAAGGAATAAACGACAAATAGGACATTGTCATATGTATTTAACTCTTTCAACACCAGTCAACCAGAGGCATTTACTACCATGACACCGAGTTCCTGAGACTCTGAGGTCATAGATGAAGCCTATGTTTATCAAGGAAAATATCAGCTTGCAAAACATTATTGCTACACCATTTGAAAGGTCTAATCCTACTGTTTATAAATATGAAATTTATTTTTTATCATATTATTCAAATAATACAACTACAACGTAAATGAGTTAATATTTAATGAAAATGCAAGCTTACACATTCATAATGTCCAGTTGAACCACGAAGGAAGCAAAAAATGCGGCGATTTTTTTCCATTTGTAACTTGTCATAATATCCCCTTACCTTTTTCTTTTATATTTCCATTTTTACGTAATGGGAAAATTATTATAAACAGATTTCTCAAATAATATGCATGGTCCGAGGTTGTCTGTTTCCCGATACCAGTGGCTTTCCGTTCAGTAACGTGATACAACAGTGGGAAATACCTCCGTTTTGGAAGCTTCGTACGAATAACATGTGAGGCAATTCGTTTGATGGCAGGTATTGTTCGAAAGCTCTGAACATCAACAATATCACTGCACACTTGCTAAGAGTATTTTCGATTTTATTGGATAATGACGCTTTTCTGCCACAGTCTGCTATGAGGATCGTGATTGGTCATTATAAGGCACGTGACCTAAGGCAGCCAATCATAAGACAGCAATGGATACCGTCCTCGAAAACGAAAACTTTTAGATTCAGACGAAAGTTTTGGGCAAAACATGCTATTCTGAATGTGTTACGCAAAATATCACCACATATACGTATATTATGGAACTTAGTGGTTGTATCGTGCTAAGTTATGACCTGTGACAAAAAGGCTTCATGCATATATTTTAGTATTAAACATCGTGTACGAGAGCTAAGTTCGAGGCGATGAAAGCCGAGATGTCACTTGAATTACAGTACACGATCGCACAAAAAAGATGGAAATAGTAAGTTGTAATGCATGTTTGACAACTTTTATGAGTACTGTTGTTGATTTTATTCTTCCGTTTATTCAATTTGTTTAATAAAGTGTTTTCAGACATTGTTAAAAGTGACAGATTTAATAAATGAATCATAGGTTAGTTAGGTTCCTAAAATTATATGATATATCATTTTTATGCGACTACTGCCTGGCCAGTTCACCGGCCTACGGTGTCTGGGGACTCGTGACGTCTTGGCCGGTTTTCTGGCCTACGGTGTTGAATGGGTAAAGCAACTTCAAGTTGATGGTTTCGTTAGCAGACCCTTTTTGGGAGGCATGATGTTGCAGAACACAACTTCCGAATGCGAACTCTGTACAGCGTCGTACAGTGCATAAACAACACTGTACTTCGAGGTTCAGAATTTACCATACTCCTTGCAGCGCAGCTCGTTTTGTACAGCACCTCCATACCGGAAGTTTAAAAATAGGTAGAAATCAACAGGAATATCTTTGACAGAACAAAATAACGACAAAGCCTTTGTCAGTAAAATAGATTTAAACATTTTATTATTTCTTATCGTACAAGGGAGCAGGATGCGATTTTAAATCGCTGCAGATAAATTTGAGTGAAATTTTATAGCAATTGATGCGAGAAAATCGCGATATCGCGGCCCAAGTCAATCCCTGTAATATGAAGGTTTGAACAAAAGTGATTTTATTGTGCAATTTTCTCTTTTCATATTTGTGAGAAGTATTCGGTTTATCAAGGTTTCAGATTGGTCGATTTTCTTGGCCATTGACCTTGTTGACTGATTGTCATTCATAGTGTCTTAATGATTTGGTTCAAATTTGGTAACAATAGAAATGTGATTAAAATGTGTTCTGTCGAAAATTGATGTCATTAAAATGTTCCAATTAGTTGGTCTCCAGTAAGATGGCAAATTTATATCTACTTGTTTAACTAATGACAAATCTTCAGGCGTGTCTGAAAGAATCTGAAGTACTTAAAATGCCCAAACACGGTTGTTGAAATTGGTTCTTAAAGTTATTGCAAAGACGAGCTCATCCTGACTTCCTTAAACCAGTGGGGGTGGTGGGGTAGCCTGATGGTTAAAACGCTCACTCGTCACGCTGTATTATTATAGTGTCATACAATCCAATGATTAACATCATGAGCATCAAGCCACACTCATCGGAAACGAAGACAGTGAAAATTTAGACAGTTAAGATTCTTATGTTTTGATTCAAGCAGCAGTGTCTTTAGTTTAAAGCCACCCTGAGAGTCTGGACCTTCCAACCTGATTGATAATATGACCCGCTATATATTGGCAGTGTGTATATCATGTCATGACCATACATTCCAGTGATTGATGTCATGAGCATCAAGTCATGCTCATAGGAAACACTCTGAAACAGGGGCCGTATGGTAGCCTGATAGTTAAAGCGTTCGCTCATCATGGGGTGTGATTCCCCACATGGACACAATGTGTGAAGCCCATTTCTGGTGTCCCCCGCCGTGATATTGCTGGAATATTGCTAAAAGCTATGTAAAACCAAACTCACTCTCTCACTCACTCCTTAAGTTACCAGCAGTAAACACTAAACAATCATACCATTCACTCTTCTGCATGTGATACCCTCTGACGAGTCTGAGGGCCTCTGACACAAACCAGCTGGCGGCCATAGCAAGTTTTATTCAAATCATTGATGATTGAAACACTGTACACATGTATATGAAATTAAAGATTTCCCTTATTACACATAAACAATGTTTCAGTTTTCACACAGCTGTGAATTACGGTTATTACAGTGTCTGGACCTAGACTGGAACTTGGCACTGGACCAACAGTTGGAGAGATATTAAACCTGATTATCTGTTGTTAGCTTGGAGTCAGTAGCTGATTCACATATCTGTGGCTTGTTTTTAGCTTTATAATATTGATGTCACAATGTCAGGGCAACATTTGTAGTAATCCTGTCAAAATCTGATGTTGCATGATTAGTCAGCATGTTTGGACTTTAACTTGCTCCAGGTTGGTTGGAGGAAAGGTAGCTCTGTTGTGACCTGTAATGGAATGTCGACAGATACTGGTTTGTTAGTAGCTCAAATCTTTGTGATTTTAATGAAATTGCAAATGGAAGGAATAATAAACAAGTTTGTCCCTGACAGTAGGGAGCTGTCAAAATGTGCCCATTATGTGGAGATTTATCACAGTGTTGTGTTTGAATGACGGAAAAAAAGCCATTAAATGGCATATCAAGACCATTATTTCGGACATATATTGGGACATAGATGCTGGTGCCCATGCTGTTTAAGGTGCTGCAATTTCTGTGCAGGTGCTTCCTTGTGGCATGCCAGAAACCTTTGATCATACCCGATATCATGGATGGTTGCTCTTACTCCCAGTCACTGGCTTGTCTTGTCCAG